CTCATATGTAGTATTTTTTATTTTTACAGAAGTTATAATTGAAATATTTTTTTATTTTAATTTACATAATAAAAAATAAATTTTTTTATTTCTTAACTTACTTTACCTACATAATACTTGACTACAAAATATTTTATTTTTATTAATAAAATTATTATTAAATTACAATATGATCTACTCATATTTTTGGTTTTTCTTTTAAATAATTATTTTCAACATGGCTTTAAGAAAAAAAGAATAAAAGATGCTATGTATTCATCTATCCATCTACATATACATAACATGGCATCATGGCATGTATGAATAGATAACGTAAGCGGCGTGGTTGAGCCCTCTCTGATTTCGCGCAGCTATAAATAGTCTCCTTCTCCAGCTCACCATATCCTCCTCTCCAAAATACAACCAGAAAACCAGGAGGAGAGAGAAAGAGGGGCGAAAAGATCTGAAAACCCTAATCTCAGATTCTGAAACCCTCTTCTTCTTCTCCAAATTGGTTCTCTGGTTGTATAATCTTCGCACTTGCGTTCTTGGGCACCTCGCTTTTTACCTCCAGGTTGTCCGAGATACCATCTGCTCCGAGGCGCCTCACCTTTCTATTTATCGGAAACTTTCTGGGATCTTGTAAGGGCTCCAAACTTGTTCATTTCGTTTCTTTTGGTTTGATGTGATTACAAATTTGTCAACATTGGTTGAAAATCTGTATTTTGATCTTTGTATTCCGTTTGGCTGCTGGGAAAAGTGGCAGAAGGAACTGCAAAACTAGGCTTGATTTCTGGGAAATGTTCATTTTTTGTTCTATTGATTCTATACACCTTTTGAAATTGAAAAACACATCTCATCCCAGAAAAGGAAATGGTCATCTGTTCCCCCTATATATTGAAACAAAGAAGAATAGGGAAAATTTTGTTTTAAACTCTAGGCTCAATAAATCTGCAGTTTGCTCAGCCCCTGCAAGATTTTTGGATTCAAAATTTTGATTTTTTTTTTTTTTAATTTTTATCCTTGCATTTTTTTACCTCCCTAATCAAGGCATTTTTAAGCCGTGCTCCAATTTTTAGTTTGGATGAACTGGGCTTGTTTTATTGCTGCCAACAGCTTTTTATTGTACCATATTTAATATATGACTTGCAAGTTTTGTCTAGTGAGATAGATTATTTTAGATTCTTGTATAGAGGTTTTTGCATCTTATACAAGGCAACCACCATGTATGATTAAAATGTTCCACTGGATGAAATAACATACCCGGTGATAGGGTCGGGACCAGAATGTAATTGTGGTTGATATCTGTTTGTTGTTTTCTGTGTCTTGGATGAGTGTGATAAGAACAGAAGAGAATAAAATTTACCTTATTTAAATACTGCTGTTTGTTTAATCATATTGTTTTTTTACTATCTTAAACTTTTGGAAGTCGGCAGGAGGATTACCTTCCATGCCTGCCTGTCATCATCATTTTTTAGTAGTTTTGGTAAATTGGCTTCCCATCTGAGTTGTGAGCTTTCTGCCCGTTAAAACTTCTGCCTAAAAAGTACAATATTTATTACACCATAGAACTGACCTTGTGCAGAAGTGCTAATAAAAACAATTGAACATTTTTTTCTCAGGAATTATACAACCATGGTGTTTTGGGTTTTTGGCTATGGTTCACTTGTGTGGAACCCAGGGTTTGAATACGATGAGAAGATCATAGGCTTCATCAAGGATTACAGGCGTGTGTTTGACCTTGGTAAGCATTTTAGCAGCAAGCAATGTGTTTAGGCATCTAGTTTCAACTTTATCTGGTATATTGTAGTTTATAAACAAAGTACTTATATATCTCCTTTTCTTCATCTGCTAGCTTGCATTGATCACAGAGGTACACCTGAAAATCCTGCAAGAACTTGCACATTGGAGCAAATTGAAGGAGCCATATGTGTAAGTATTACCAGACGCTGACTCTTATACATTTCCAATATAGTTTAATCAGTTATGAAGTTATGCCATTTCCTTATTTTTATTCTTGAATTTTGTTCCTTTTGGTTAGCTTTTGTAGCATTACTTGTTACTCAATAGCAACAGTGTTAAATCCAGTATTTCTGAAATTGTTGCTGGCTATTAAATTTTTCAGTGGGGTGCTGCATTCTGTGTTCGAGGGGGCCCAGAGAAGGAAAGATTGGCAATGGAGGTAGGTCACTTGCTTTTATAGAAAACAAGTATGAAGGCTTATTGCAATTTTAGAGCTTTGATGTTTGGAAAAAAATTTGTTTTGTTTTAGTTGTTCATTTCCCATTTTGCATTTTCTATACAAAATGAAAGCCACATTTTCTTCAATTTGTAGTACCTGGAGCGGAGAGAATGCGAATATGATCATAAGACCCTTGTAGACTTTTACAAGGTGAGCCTTTTATTGTACTCCTGTGCCTGCCTGGTTCTCTGTTACCTTTTATGTATGTTTCTTGTCCTCATTTTTGTATTTGATTGCTTTCATTCAGGAGGAGGATCCCCTGCAGCCGGCCCTAACTGGAGTTGTTGTGTACGTTAGCTTATTTGTGTTATGCCATCTTTCATTTACAAAAGAAATTGGATGCAGTTGCTGTTGCATGTATGCATTGATTTTCTCACTTAAAATGTTAATACATATGCAGCTTCACATCAACTCCAGATGTGGTTTCAAACAAATACTATCTGGGAGCTGCTCCATTGGAGGAAATGGCTAGGTAAGACATTTGACATATTAAAAAAGATTTAGGAAAGCTTTTGCAACTAGTTATAATTGGTTTTTTCTTTTGTAGACAAATTGCAACAGCTTCTGGTCCTTGTGGGAACAACAGAGATTATCTTTTCAAGTTAGAGAAGGCCATGTTTGATATTGGTGGGTATTTTACAGAATTACCTATTAATTTACATAAATCTTGAAAGATTGTTTTACCGTTTTACCAATCTTAGGAGTTCATGTAAACAGGTCATGAGGATGACATGGTGATAGAGCTGGCAAATGAAGTGAGAAAGGTGCTTGAAGTTGGTAAAGGGATCTCCAAGGAAGAGCTGGTCGCATCACCACTCATGAAACTTAAATCCCAAAGCCCCATCCCTGCCCTCCAACCCAGCCGGCTCCCTGAAGCTGTTGCTGCAGACTCTTAGCAACTTTCTATGGACTTTTAACAAGGAGGCTCAGACTTCATCTACCCTTGATCTTCTTATTGTGTTATTTTGAGACAGGACAACATCTATTTTCCCATCACTTTTCATCTTGTTGACATTTAGCATAGCTCAAGCCTGGCCTGCAGGTGGAATCAAATTTCATTGATGTAACACGGTTTCAATTTCAGCCACATTCTTTTTGTCTTGTTAATTTACTGACATTCCATGGCTTTCAATTTAGAGATAGGGAATAGATTTCTATATCAAATGACATTTTTCCTGCATCTCTCCTTTCGAAAGAGCAGAAAAAATTGTCCATTTTCCATGATTAGTTGCCGGATTAATCGGACAAACAAATTCTGACTGCTGAATGCAATACAAGTTATGTAACATAATGCTTTAGTGAACAGTACTCAGATGAATGAAAGGTGAAAAAAAGAACACCAAAATTTTGATCGGGATTTTTACCTATTGGAAAGAAAAATTGAAAAACCAAGGAACAAAAACGCAAAAGAAAAGAGAGTGCGTAGCCTCAATCCTCGCTTCTTAAAATCAGAATGAAGAGGGAAAGGGTTAGCATATTCGGAAAAATCAGTTACAAAGCAACCATTAGGCACAGATGCAATGGGAGATTAAGCTTGCAAGGGAAATTGCTTTTGTTCACTTTATTTATTTATTTAACGTAGAATTATCTGAAATGGTTGGAATAAAGCTCAATGCCCAATAAAAAAACAAAAAAAAACACACACACACAGAATCTCAAGTCCATAAGGCCACAAATCTTCACAAGTAGACCTAGAAGGTCCAATCAATGGTTGGAAGTCAATATGAATGTGCAAAAGCAAATTAGCAAAACAACCCAATTAGCAAGCCCTTAATGGAGAGAGGACAACGTGAACTTACACGTCTTCCCCATTTAAGTTTTTGACCTTAAGAACACAATCGTTTAATCAAAGGGTTTAAATGTTAATAAAAAGTATTTCAAGTACTCAATTTGGACACAAGTTTGTGTGGGGAGGACTTGATTGCACCAAACTAATTAGTTCAAGCCCCAACCAAACGTGTGTTCTTTTTTCTTCATAAAAAAAAAAAAAAAAAAACAGAGGACTTGGGGAAGAAGTCAGGAAGTTCGAGCAAATTGAAAAAGGGGCCCTTCATCTCCTTCTCAGTTCTCTCTTTTCTTTTCGCATAGTTTCAGTCTCTTCTTCGATTCCGTACTGGTTTCCCGACGAAGCTTCCGATCAAGCAGAATGGATCTGAACATGGACCTCAACGCCCCTCACTCCATGGGCACTACCATCATCGGCGTAACTTACAACGGCGGTGTTGTCCTTGGCGCCGACTCCCGTACCAGCACCGGTATTTCACTTTTCCTTACTTTATTTCCCGTTTGGCTCCTCAGAATTTTATAAATCTTCGCCCTCGATTTGTTGCATCCATGATTGTTTGGAAATATTATGAAACTTTACAGGACATTAATTTTAGATTTTACTTCGAATAATTTTAGCTCAGTTTATCTGAACTCATTGCAATGCCTGATTCCTTACTTGAACAGAAGTATTTGGTTTCCTCTAAGATCGAATAATAATCTTAAATTTTATTTTTGTTGATTATTTTACTGAATAGTGTCTCCATTTATTTCTTAAAGTGCATTAATTTATGGTTTTAATTATTTTTGTTTCTGGAAGAGTAGATTTGGATAGATGGGTTTTGTATGTTAAGGTGAAGAAAGGGATTGTTTGCTATTTGATAAGTGTATGCTACTTTGAGCTTGATATATATGATTGTTGTGATGGTAGGGATGTATGTGGCTAACCGGGCCTCGGACAAAATTACACAACTCACTGACAATGTCTATGTTTGCCGCTCTGGATCGGTGATTACCTTCCACTGAACTTAAAATTTGTTATCTTTCTTAAACTATGGTGACTAAGAATTCTGCTTTTGGTAATGTTGAATATTCTACATGTTTTCTCTCTGCAGGCTGCAGATTCTCAGGTTGTCTCTGATTATGTGAGATATTTTCTTCATCAACATACGTGAGTTATCCATTTCTTGTCTGTTTTTCCTAGACATTGAGAGTTTTTTGCACTATTGGTTATGGTACCCTGATTTTGAATGCTTCATTTTAAATCTTGCATTGGCTGCTAAAATTCAGTTGGTTGTTTGATTGGTTGAAGTGAATGTTGCATTATTAGGGTATCATATTTTGTCTTACTGAACTGGTTTCCTTGTATTGGTCCTTACCTGGTGTAACAAAAGTAGAGTTCTTCAGTTAAGTCTGGTGTAAAATATAGGCCAATGTAATTGGTTGAAATGTTATTGACTGAGTCAGTTCAGGTGGTCCTATCCTGTGGACATCTACTGTGGCTCCATTTTTCTGTTCTCACCACAGCTGTATTGAGTACAGTCCTGTAGCATTCTTTGTTGTGATGGTGGTTTTGAGTAAATTCTTGTCCCAGAGGATGCATTCCTTTTGTTCTTTATTTTGGATAAAGATTCCTCCTAGTATTTGCCTTTTCAGCTGGTGTTTTGGTTTCAATTTTTCTCAGCAATGTCATTTTCCTCCCTCTTAAGACTGATAAGTGGCATGGTGTTTTTTTCCATGATCTCTACTTGTTTGGTGAAGAGTTTCAGTTGGCAGATTTAATAGGAGTATTGGACTACTGAGACATTTTTATTTCCAAGTTCTAATTTAGGTGTGCTCTTAAATATTTTTTTCATTTCCATGAATTCACAGGATACAGCTAGGACAGCCTGCTACAGTCAAAGTTGCTGCAAACCTTGTCAGGCTGCTGTCGTACAATAACAAGGTTTGATTTTTATTTTGCTTCCAGATGGTAAATTTTGTGTTGCTCATCTATTTTCTTAAAGTACCCCAAAGATCCATTTCGTTGGAGTATTTCTAGTTGAGGACCATTTATATTGACTGAAATATGTCTGAATGGTTTTACTTTGATTTTGAGATAAAGGTTGATCTTTCTTGCTTTTCCTTTTGTTTGTTCCTCTATTTTGTTAAGGCATTTCTAGTTCATCTACACAATATTGGCTTAACTATTATGATCTGGATGCAACAGAATCTTCAAACTGGTTTAATTGTTGGTGGTTGGGATAAGTATGAAGGTGGTAAAATTTATGGAATTCCTCTCGGTGGAACAATAATCGAGCAACCTTTCACCATCGGAGGTGTGTTCTTTCCTTTTGCTTATTTTTATTTTAAGGCTACATATATTGAATTGTTGTTTTTTGTTATTCTTTTATTTTTTTGTGCTCAGCAACATATATTCTGCTGTTTAAGCTAAGTTAAATGATTCTCCCTAAACTAAGGCATTAGTAAAAAAAACATCTGATATTAACATTAGAAATAATATCAGCAGCCAAGTCCTTTTTGGTTTAACTGTAGCACAAAAAATTCTTCGATTTCTTTTGCATCCGCAAATTCTAGATGGAGGGTCTTTTATACACAAATGCTTTTTACTTGAATACCATTTTGAAAACTTTCTGGATTCCATAGTTTCTACTTTTTACATAGTGATCACCAGAATTTCAGGAGGTTTTTTAAAAACAGATATTGCAAGTAGTTCTACAAAATTAAATAAATAAATAAATCTTCTGATTTGACAAGATTTGTTTTATCAGGATCCGGCTCCAGTTACCTTTATGGGTTCTTTGATCAAGCATGGAAGGAAGGAATGACTAAGGAAGAAGCTGAGGTATGTGGTACAAAAGTTATTAATTTACCAGTTACTTAAATGGATTTTTGGTTGGACTGACCTCTGGTCATTACTTCACCTTTGTTTGTTACAATCAATCAAGCTAAACATAGACTGATTCATCCATTTGTAAACTAAATGCTGTGAAGCTCTTTATTGGCTTGCCACATTTTCAATTGTTAATTGTGTTATGGAACTTTCATGGCAGCAACTAGTGGTTAAGGCAGTTTCACTTGCCATTGCTCGAGATGGCGCCAGTGGAGGTGTTGTCCGCACTGTCATTGTAAGATATTCCGACACTTGCTACCGAGCAAAGTTTCTTGCAGATGAGTATATTTGTAGATTCCTTAATTTTCTGTGCCTTTGCAGATCAACTCTGAGGGAGTAACAAGAAATTTCTACCCTGGTGACACACTTCCACTTTGGCATGAGGAATTGGAGCCCCAGAATTCATTATTAGACATACTGAACACTCCGAGTCCCGAGCCTATGACCATGTAATTCTAGAGATCTTACACCCTGAACCGGTGGGATTCTCGACTGCAATTCAGTTGTTTTCTCCGTAGACAGACTCAGAAATGGGAATTTCATCTTTCTTCATGTAAAACAGATATTAATGTACTTTTGTTTTGAACATTAATTGGGTTGATCTAAGCGTTAAAAAATTCTGCCCATTGTTTATGCATATGATAATATGTTGTGTTGCATGTAGTTTTTTTCCCTTCTTTTTGGGACATACCCTTTTTTTTTTTTTTT